ACAAAGAATTTTTTAAAATACATGATAATTTAGGGACGACTATCCAAAGGCGGAGCTAGGATTAAATTATGAGGCCAAGAAATTGTTTAACTTTAAAAGTAATAAATCATAAAAATTAAGAGAATAAGGGTTTAATTTCACAAATTTGAAAACTTAAAGATCTTAAAAAGTAATTAAATCATTAAAATTTGGGGTCAAGGTTTAACTTTATTAATTTTAGGGTAAACTACGTATTTAGTATATAAACTTTCAAATTTTCTAAAATTATACTTAAAGTTTAGTTTTTGTTTCATTTAAGAACCAATAGGTAAAAATTTAATGCAATTAATACTTAAACTATCAATTTTAGTCTGTTTTAGTATCTAAACATTCAAATTTTTTTCCAAAACTTAACGTTAAATTTTGAATGAGTACTAAAATGAAACAAAAACTAAACTTTAGATATGATTTTGAAAAAATTGAAAGTTTAGGTACTAAAACGGACCAAAACTAATAGTTTAAATATATATTTTAGATTTTTCTATATATTTTATATTGAAAATCTATTTTTGATCCCTTAAATTTTATATATTTAAGTTGTCTCTTAAGTTCAAGTTCGTCCCTAACTTAAAATTTTGCATTTGTCTATACGAATAGCTATGAAATAGAAGGTAAAAACCTGGTTTAGGAAGTCGAGGATGAAGTCAGGAATCCAGTCGACAGAAGGAAGCAAATTCAATCCACTGCCTGCTTCGATATAAGTAGTAGGTAGGTATATGCCCACAACCGAGACGAGTGAGATCTCAACAGGCTCAGGGGAAGGAACAAAAAGGAAGTTCAATGGATTATCGCCAAGGCCTTGGCCAACCATGGGTTGGTCCAGCACCACCTCGATGCCAAGTGCCTCTAGTTGATCGGCAGGTCCGATTCCGCTCAGCATCAACAGCTGTGGGCTCCCGATGGCACCTGCTGATATGATTACCTCACCCATGTTGTCTTTTGTTAAAAGTGCTGGTGTTTTACTCCCGATTCATCCTCGAAGATCACCCCCTCAGCTTTAGGTCGTGATCCAGCTGCTAAATTTCACATAGAATGGTTCACGGATCATCCAATAGAGTGATTTCAAAAAAAGAATAATTCAAAATTTTAGTGATAAAATTGAGAGTTTTTAAAGTCGAGAGACCAAAACAAAAGAATAGTTAAACTTAAGTGATAAAAAGACGTAGTTACCAATTTATATATAAACTTACTTTCTTGTGTAAAAATGATCTTGTGCACTGTGGCGTGCAAGTAAACCTTGATATTCTTTGGGTCAGCATACTCAAGCAAGTCGGCTGCACTGTGTCTATGATCATCCATATCAAAAATGGTTGAGCCAATCTTAGTCCCGTTGATGTGGTCGTACGTAACTCCGTTGAACGGTAAAACCCCAGATTCAACCAACCCGTCCCTCACTGCAGCTTGCCACTCCAACACAGGTGCTTCGAATACTATCTTCTTTTCGACCCACCGATACGAATCATTTACCAGAGCTTCATCCAAGCCGGAGTTCTTTACGAACTCTGGCTCGGCATGCGAGTAAAATCCCCCGTTGATGACGGAGCCGCCCCCGAGTGCACGTGCTCGGTGGCTGTATACTCCGTCCTCCGTAACAATTACTTCGGTAAACGAATCGGGAAGGGTGTCTAAGATATTGAGCACCCAGTTGCCTTTGTCCGTCTTTTCAGGCTTGGCATAGGGAGACCCTCCTCTCTCTAGGACTAAAACATTGGCCGTCTCCGACAGAGTCGCGGCCAACGGACAGCCGGCGACTCCTCCACCGACTACGATGTAGTCGTGGTACGAGACCTCAGGAGCCGTGCTTGCTTCTTGAACAAAACTGTAACGTGGAGCTGCGAGATCATAATTATAGTTAATTATTATTACAAAATCCCAGCATGAATCATAAAATAGAAATATCGAATAAAAAATTACAAACCTGTCTCTGCATGACAAAAGTAGGGTTGCAAAGTAAAAACAGCAACAACGAAAGCCTGGAGAAACCACCATAATCCCATATCCATGGCGTCTTTCATGATTTATCCATACAAATACTTCAAAAAAACAAAATTAATTCTATCAATGTGTCCATGCATTTCCAAGACGTACTAAATTAAAGGAATTAGGTCACGAAGTAAAATGTACAAACATAGCCAATTAAATTCTCATATGCACAACCAGATACAGTTAGATAGACACGTATGTTGGAGCCTGTCTTTATGATTTTACTATACCTATACATGCACAAAACATATGTAAACAGCAGATTACGTTTAAAACGCAATTATAGGACTAAAAAAATGCAGGTATAAACTTGTTTTTTCTGTAGTGCAAGGACTAAAGAAAGATTTTTTACCTAAAGGGCGCACGGTGGTGGGTTTAGGGATGGCTTAGTTTAAGGAGAAGAAGCGTTGATAAAGGGTGGTGTGGATAGCTTGGGAACCGAGGGTGTGACCGGTGATCATCCAAGTGTCCGAGAATGACGACGATTTCAAAGTTCTGGATCCTTGGATGATGAAGCTCGGGTGAAGATAGTGATGGATGAAGTGAGATGATTGTCTTTCCACTTTTTTTTATGTTTTCTTTAGCTTATCGTGTGGACCTTTCCCTCTAAACTTTATTTTAATAAATACGTGTATATAATTTGATTAATTCCCATGATTATAATCTTTTTAATTCAATTTATTTCGTGCACAACATCAAAACTTAAATATTAGACGTCTTTAAACGACCTAAAGCTAAGAGTAAAAGTGTGATGAAACTATAGGGTAAATAAAAATTAAGCGATCGAAACTTAATTAACTCATTAAATCATTAATTGATCTACTTTCTAAAATTAGATGATTTTTTTTGGATAAGTAAATTATATTCATCCAAAAGAATGCAGCCTAGCTGCTAAAAAACGTAACCAACACACATACTAGATGAGACCCTAGCTCGTGCACAAATGCCTATTTACATCATCAAGCCTATACATGCAATGTCTATACAATTTAATTTTCACACCCTCCTTTATCTTATTTACAATTACATCAACCGAACGAGTCAAACTCCTATAGTGTCGATGGTTGTGTTCCTCTCATATAAAGTACAGAAATCCAGTCCACGCAAGCTTAAGGATACGTACTCTGAGGGATTTTCCCTTCAAGTTCACAGTCAGCCAGCAAAAGTGTTCATCCCAGCTATGTGCCTCATGTCGAAGACCACAAGCGATTAAAACAGTACCCCCACACTTCCTTTGCATAGGAACAATCAGCAAAGAGAAGATCCTGAGACTCCATACCAATCCCACACATCCCACAAACATTGTCAATTATCAACCCAAATCGAACAAACCTATCTTTGGTAGGCAATCTATCAAGGATGATTAAAGAGAATTTAGGGATATGAGTTGGAAACCAAATAAGCCTATACCAGGTAACCTTCTTCCTACTGTCTCGAGGTTAAAATTAGATGATTTATTTATAATCTTACTAATAAAAGTTAAGAGTACCATAACTCTTCCGACCTACAATGTGATTATATTCTTATCAAAATCTTGTCCCACAAGTTAAATGAAGATAAATTTATACTTTTTTATTTTTTATTTGAGTTAAGGGTAAATTGTGTATTTAGTATCTAAACTTTCAGTTTTGATTCGTTTTAGTATAAACTTCCAATTTTTTTCAAAGTCATACCTAACGTTTAGCTTTTGTTTCATTTTAGTATCCCATTAAAAACTTAACGTTGAGTCTTAAAAAAAATTAAAAGTTTAGGTACGAAAACAGACCAAAACTGATAATTTATGTACTAAACACGTTAAGCTTTTAACGACTGATACTAAAATAAAACAAAAACAAAAACTAGATATAATTTTTAAAAAATTAAAAATTTATAATTTAGATACCAAATGCGTAATTTACCCTTGAATTAATGTACTCAAGTATTTGAAGAAGTCTTATGATCGTAAATTGGCATTACGTGCATAACGAAAAGCGAAAGGTGCTAAGTAAATATAAACCAAATAACTTTCAACTTGGTCAACGGACAATACAAAATACAAATATTAATCTAGACGGAAGAATACGGAAGTGAAGGGGATAGGATAGTAAACCCTTATAAATCTAAATTATCATAGATTTTGGAATTTTTTCTACATATTTTTATTTATTAAAAATATGTTTTTGCCCATTTACAATTTTATAAATTCAAATTCTTCCTTTGAAATTTTAAAAGTTTACGTTTATCCCTACCATAAAATTATGTGTTAGTCCCTGTTCTCGATATATGCCTACAATCTTCACGTTCTTGGAAGATTTGCATGTGGAACCATTCAAACACAGTTGCAAAACGCACAACCATGAAAGCCATGCACCTTAGACCACAAATAATGTCATTCCTTTTCTAACAATTTATTTCAAAATTCGAGTAGTTAAAATTGGACCCCAAAAAAAAACTAAATTGATCCATATCCGAACATAACTTAAATAAAAAAACAAAGGTAAAGTACATAAATGGTCTCCGACAGTAGGATATAGTTTTATAAAGTCCTTCGACTTTTAAAAGTCATAAAATGATATGCTTCAATTTTTTAACAAAAAAGAACGAGTTTTGAACATAATGAATAGTCAGGTGACCATTTTGTAACATTTAATGGTTGAGGGACTCAACAAAGCAACACTCTATAGTTAGAGGATTATTTTGTGATTTTTAATAGTCGAAGGATTTAATAAAATAATACCCTATAATCGAAGGACCATTTATGTACTTTAAGAAAACATATGTAGAAATAAAAACAATGTTGTGCTTCATCGATACTCAAGTGTTTACAATAGTGATTCTCATAGTTATTTATGTTAGCAATAACTTGATAATCCTAGAAATATGAGCATTTTGAGATGAATTCGTTGCATTGTTTATTGAATTTTTCTTTGTTGTATCTTTTCACAGACTGTTTGGCCTCATATACATTTAATTATGGTTAAATTGCAATTTTTGGTGGTAGGTGGGAGTTTGAATGGAGTGCTGTGGAGGAAAGTGATGATTTAGCCGCCAAATAACCAAGACTTAAAAAAGATAGTAACAGCATGGTATCCAAATTTGGAGTCCCTTGCTGAAAAGCTTGTAGGTAGGTCCAACAATGCCTGAAGAAGCTCTGCTCTTAGACTACGTTATTTGTTGCCTGCTAATCTTGTTTTTGCTTCAGAAACTTTTGAAGTGGTTAACCCTATCTATCTACACCAATCCTTGGACTTCAATCCTGGAAAACCTGTTTCCTTAAGTTCACTCAGCAAGTTCTCATTGAGGTAAGAGCTGGCACTAATAATTTAATATTGGGGATGGCAGCAGCAACTGGATTTGACTCTTTTCTGCCTTCTGATTACAGGGATCTACTCAAGTGGTGTAAAAGAATTGCTGGACTGGGTTTTAGTTTTACCTCTGATGTTTTGACAGCTTTTGAATGCCTTTGTATTTATCAGGAGGTATGGTTTAGCATGGTGTCTTGTTTCCTTGGCTTTTTTACGTGCTTCTGAATTTTTCTATTGGTATATTTTGCATGTTATTCTCAGTGAGTATTTTCCAATTCATGTAGGCAGTGGACGTATTTGCTAGCTTTTCAACATCTGTTGGAAACCGGTTGGCTATAATGAAAGAGATTGCGAAGAAGTGGGCGGTTCCAACTTATCAGGCAGAAACTTTGTATCCTCACGATGAACCTATAATTAAGGTGGCTATTAGATGCTGTGAGTTGTGTCATATAATTATTAGAAGACAATTTGGTTCTCATATTGGGAGTTTGATTGCAGGATTGGACGAGTCAGGCTTCAACGAATTGATGCAAGTGTGAGTAGCAAGCCTACAGGAATTCCGTTATTTTTGGCTTAGATTATCTTTTGCTTCCTTCTAATGTTGTGATTCTTGCAGTTATATGATGAAAAGAGATCTTTTGTTAAGATTCGTAGTTCTTTGCATGTACTTGAGAGAATAGCTTGCTGCGTTCAGTATAATGAACCTGTTTTATTGGTTGGTGAAACTGGCACTGGGAAGACTACACGTGCAGAATCTTGCTATGAGGCTTGGGCAGAAACGTACTGTTCTGGTATGCTGATTGAGAATCTCTCTATCTAGCAAACTTATGTCATTATTATTTGAATGTAGCACACATGGGGCTGTGAATGACAGATTGGCACTTACATGTAGCACACTTATGCCATTGTGTTTTTTTTCATGTTAATTTTTTTTTATTTTCCAGAACTTAAGTCAGCAAAGTGATGTTGCTGATCTACTAGGAGGATTTAAGCCTATGGACGCTCGGTCTATCTGTGTTCCCCTGTACAATGAATTTAAATTTCTTTTTTCAAGGGCATTTTCCATGAAGGTATTCCTAGTTTTAATATTTTCCCCCTTCTGCTATCATTTAGGTTGTCATTAACTTCTGCTACTGTTTGCTTTGTATATGTAGGGTAACGAGCGGCTGGCGAGCGAGTGGTTAGTGGCCAATAGCGCCCTAGTTGATGGCATTCCTCTCTGCGGCTGGCACTCGAGGGCGTTTTAGATAGTTCACTCTGCTTCGGGCCGGGCCGGCTTTCGAGTTGAAACTCCGCTCCTCGAAAAAAGAGCTTTAATGACTCGTCTTCGGAGGTTTCTGGCTTTTGAGTTCCCTTTCTCTGTTTGAGAGAGAAAGATGCTTAGCCAGAAGCGACGAAGGGGGGGCTGGGGAAGGCTGGCGACTACATGAGGGGGAAGCTGTCGTAGAAGTTTTTCCCCTTGCTTTACAGAGATTTTTATGAACTGCCTGAAATCAAGCTTTGAGATGGAAGCGCTACAACAAAAGTGGTTCACTTTCTCTACGCAATTTCTATAATTGCTTTTGGCTGGTTAAGGCTGCTTTACCTACCTCTCCTTAACAGTCGAGCATCGCTAAAGCCGTCTCTCTACCGGTCTATTATCTTCGTTCCTAACTAAATGACTGATCTTCTTGGTCTTCGACCCCTCAGTCACTACGAACGCCCCGATCAGTGCAATGGGATGTGTCTATTTATCTATCTCTTGACTCGAAATGGGAGCAGAATTAATTTTATTTCATCTAATGAAGCAACATAAAACTGAACAAATAAATTTAAAAAAAAAATCACAAACAGTTAGTTTCATATCATATACATACATATATGTCATTGTTTTTTTTTTGATAAAAAGACATTAGATGTTCATGTACTTTTGATAAAAATTTAATATGACCCTCGTACTATTTTCTCTCTTATTGTAGTCTTTTAACCAACGTTTTTCATTATTGATCATTACGATGTTGACGTGACAGTCCACGATACTGATATGACAATCTATGATGACAGATTAATGTGGCAGATGACATCGCATATGGCTAAATTGGGAACTTAAACATGGTGAATGGATTGTCACGTCAATGTTGTAGACCACGACGTCAGCATCATGAAATAGCACGTTAGTACTGTAATGATCAATAATGAAAAACATTGGTCAAAGTGTCACATTGAGTTTTTTTTTTTTGAGTTGAGGGTCACATTGGTTTCTTTCAAGATTACAGGGACTTCTGATTCCTTTTTGCCTTTTTTTTTCTTAAATACCAATAAGAAATGGAAGAAATGTTACCTTCCGAGCATCATAACCGTAGCTTGAGGATTAGTTCCCGGCGTGACATGAAAAGTAGAAGCGTCGATAACCCTAAGACCATCAACGCCGATGACTCTGTAATCTTTATCCACAACCTTTCCGACTTGGCAGCTGCCATGATAATGCCAGAACGTCAACACCGTGTCGTTGCAGAACTGTTGCAAAGACGATATAGTTTTCATGCTTCTAGGTCTGAGGTTCGTGGGAAGCGCCACCGTCAGCTGCAGAAGAAGCTGAGTCGAGAGTGCCGGGTAACGGAATCTCGAAAGGGACGATGATTCCACGACCTTCAAGACGGTTTCCATGCCTCGAACGCACTGTTTCAAGTCCTCTGGTTCTTTGAAGTAATTGAACGTCACCTTGGGAGTTGGGAGTCTCCTTTGGGTTTGTGCTTTTGAGCTCGATGTTGCCTTTTGAAAGTGGACGCCCGGCTTTCTGAATAATCACGCCGCCTTGAAGTTTTTGTAGGGTGGTGCTTCCAATATTAATCTTTGCTATGTTAAACACCTGCAAACCTCAACCGATGTTAAACACTAACTAGGATGAAATTGGAAAGCTTAAAAGTTTGTAGGCCAATTTAGACCCAGGGTCATATAATGATATAAAATAGTAAGAAAAAAACCTGGTTGAGGAGTGGGGGCAAGAATCTTATCATCTCTCCAAGGGGAGGCAAGTTCAGTCCACTCCATGCTTCAATGTAGTCCCATATTGTGTTATGCCCACAGTGGAAAGCAGTGAGACCTCAACCGGCAAAGGTGAAGGAACACAAACACCGTTCATGGCATTATCGTCCAAGTTTTGGCCAACCATGGGTACATCCACCAGCACCTGTATGCCGAGTGCCTTCAGTTGATTAGCAGGACCAATACCGCTCAGCATCAGCAGTTGCGGGCTTCCAATAGCGCCCATCGATACGATTACTTCGCTCACGGGATCTTTCGTCAACAGTGCCTTGTGCGTTACACCCGAAGCATCCTCGTATATCACCCCGGTTGCTTTCGGTCGTGATGGTTGCCCGGGCTTACCTTCGGTCACCGGTTTTAGTCCCTTTGATGTGGTCATACGTGAACTTGTTGTCCGGTGTAACCCCGACTTGGAGCAACCCAGCCCTCACCGCCGATTGCCACTGCAGCACTGGTGCCTCGAACGCCACCTTCTGTTCAACCCACTGATATGAATCTCTTACCAGAGCTTCATCGAAACCGACTTCCTTTATGAACTCGGCGTCAGCGTGTGAGTAAAACCCTGCATTGATGACGGAGCCGCCACCGAGCACGTGTGCTCGATGGCTGAATACTCCTTCCGTCGAATTGAATTGTTGTGAATATGAATCGGGCGAGGAATCGTAAAGTCCGGCAAGAAATTCACTTTGTCTGTTTTGTCGGGTTTGAGATAGGGAGACCCTCCTCTTTCGATAACTAAAACGTTGGCCTTTTCGGACAGGGTTGCGGCCAAGGAACAACCGGCAGTTCCTCCACCGACGACAATGTAGGCATGGTACGAGACCTGAGGAGCTGTGGTTGCTTCTCGAACAAAACTATAATTTGGAGCTGCGAAACAATGGTCATCTTCAGTATTTATTTTATTTATGCAATCAAACTAATTCTAATCGAGTCAAGTCAAATCGATTTAAAATAAATCATTACCTTTCTCAGCAGGGCAGGAGTAAGGGTACAAAGCAGAAACAGCAACGAGAAAAGCAACGACAAACTTCCATGACCCTCTGTCCATTCTGTATTTCCTCTGGAATTTAATCTGATAATTATGAACACGTTCAAATATTTTATGAATGCAATAAGAATAAGAGATGCAAACTTGTCTCCACGTGGCAAAACAACAACCAAAATATGCCTATAGAAACCTCCCTGATCCGAAATCCATGGTGTATTTCCTAATTTGCTGTTCTTTCTAATCGGCTGTGTCGGTTATGTTTATTTATGTGTTAATACTATTTTATTAAAGTTGTGAAAAATCATTTAACAAATTAAATATAGGATAAGCTACATAAATGATCACTAAATTGATCATTTAACAAATCAAAAATTATAAATTAATCACTGACGTTATCTATTTGAAATAAAACAATCCCTTTCCGTTAACATCAGTTAACATGGGTTTAGGAAAGTTGAGTTGTACCGTTAAATGGTTACCTGCACAGTTAACTGCATATCTAGCCCATTGACCAGTCACTCCACTACCATCACCTTCTTCCTTATTCTTCTCTGCCTCCGCTACTTGCTTTCTATTCTCCCATCCTCTCTCACCCCGCCATATTTACAGTGAAATCCTCCTCTCCGGTTTTATGATCAACTCTACACGTAGGCGCAGGACCCATCTTGCTGATCTTTCTATGTTGTTTTTATTTATTCGTTCTACGTGTTTTCATGAATAGTCAATCTCGTTCAGACTGAAACCCCATAACAAGCCCTTGTTTTCTTTAGCTTTTCTTTACCATTTTTCGTAAACAATCCAATATCTAAGTTTTTTCTCAATAATAAAATTTCTAATTGAGACCAGACGTAGCGTAAAGCAACTCAAGCATAAACGAAATCGTGTTAAGTAACTGTGTGAAGGATGAGCCATTAGCATCCAACAAGATTAGCAAGTTCTTCTTCTAGCTACAAACAATGACCATAATCATCAAAATAGGCAAGACAAAACAAAGCTCTATTTTTTCTTTCCCTTTATTACACTGCAATGTTTCTCTATGGTGGAGTTGCATTTCTATTTGCTAGTGCGGCCATTCATCTCTTTGTCGAGTTGGGTTTTCTCAAAGTATAACAAGTGATTGATCGAAACTGAATTGGAATGAGATAAACCATATAAATCCATTGTATATTGAAAGAACAAAAACATGTCATTACAGCATAAAGAGGTCTGGAGGAAATTAGAAACCTTTATAAACAGCTATTTCCAGAATATATATGAACACTGACAGGAGTAACCTGAAATTGCTCCTTTAAGATTTGAATTTGAAAATTGTTCCCAACTGTAACACTGGATAAATTTCCTCAAAAACATATTTTTGAAGTCTCATCAAACAAGATGGTACACGTTTGGCTGAATATACTTT